TTGGGTCGCCTGATTTCGATCAGAAAAACCATCACCCAAAATCAGGCGGATTGACCCCAAGGATGTTGCCCTTAGGAGAGCTTAAGGGCAACTTACCGAAGAAGACAAAGCTTTCATAGTTCAATCTAAATAAGCCTTGAACAGGTGTCAAAAAACACATCCGAAAATCCAATGGAAAAACAAGGCGCTTGCACTGGATACTTCGGAGTGCATTCGCTGAAAAAGAGGTCCTCTTCAGCTACTTCTGCTCTGCGGAAACGCTCTGTGATCCAGACTGCATGCGGGCGTTCAGACACGTCTGAAAATTGAAGCTGCTTCCCAGCCATTGACCATCCCTTGCAAGTTGTGCCTGCAAAGTTAATGCGCAGCTTTCTCGGCCCTTCAACGCGAGGGCGCTTTGAAGGCGATGGCTGCGAATCTGCATCAAGCTCCTGGGCCGGGCTGTCATCAATTCTCCGGAACAATCTGCAGCGTCGGGAATGGGCCAAACATTGAGAAAAAGCGTCTGTGTACACCCACTGCCGATTGTCCATCAAATAAGAAGCCATATCTTTGTACGCAGCGGCAGCGGTCACAACGTCTGCATCTCGCGGAGGCATGGCTGCGTCCAAAACTTGACGGGCAACCGGAGGCAGCCGGTCATTGATATCTTGCATCACACAAAAACCCTCAGGCTCGAGGGCGCTGAGCTGCATCAAAACATTCTGCTGAACTGAACCAAAGTCACACACCCTGGTGAGTTGCACAGAATCCATGCTAGCGTACATCGAACGCTGCTGTAGCGCGTGAGTCATTTGCCAAAAAATTTCATGCTCTCCAGAAATTCCTGAATAATCTGAGTACACACAGAGCCCGCGCCTGAAGTGAGATTCGAGGCGGTGCAAGCGCTCTCCATCACTACCATCATTTCTCTGGGTCAGCCGGTCCAACACTGTCAAAGGCCATCTCCGCAAATCTGCAGCTGAAGAAGGGCCAGGGCCAGACACGGACATTGCTCTGCAAGCGCGTTTGGACAACTCAGAACGGATCATCAAAGTCAACCCTAGCTCCTGCGATTTCACCACTGGAAATTGAAAGCTGATTGCAACTCTATGACAGGACTGAATGAAGGGACATGTGTGAAACATGCGTCACGCGCCTGCAGTATGTGCTGTGAGCCAGCTTCAAGGAACAAATCGCATGGTTTCGCAGAAGGATACCACAAAAACTGCCAAATTGCATGTGTTGCAACAGGATTCCTGCAAAACAATCATTTTGGGACCCCAAACCCTAAAAACTCATCCAAATTTCGAGCAATTTCGAGCAATTCCGAGCAATTCCGAGCAATTCCGAGCGACTCCGAGCATGGAAGAAATGAGCACAAATGCTGAAACTGCTGAAACTGGCGCACACAACCGCTGAAGCGTCAGGCTGGCATTTATGTCCGATAATGCCAACGCTGCAAAAGTAGCCGCTATGTTCAAGCCTTGAAGCAACGTGTCTGCGAACCAGTTTACATGACACATACAGGAACCATCTTCTAGAACAAGTGTCAACAGCCTTTCTGACACTACAAGGCTTTGGCCTAGCAAAACCTGGTCTACTGTTTAGACTCCTGCTGGTTCAAAACTTTCTCGATGTCGCCCTCAAAGTCTGGAGCTGCGCCACTGCCACCGCTGCTCTTGGAGGGGTCCTCGATCTTCTTAGTTGAAGCCTTCGCAGCGGCCGCCGGCTTGAGCTGCTCCAGGTACATGGTGAGGTCCGCGCACGCCGTGGCAAGCTTATCTTTCATCTCAGACAACTGCAGGCACGAGTCCTCTGTGACGTCCCGTTTCTCATCACCAGCCATGGCCTTCTCCGCAAGATCACAAAGAGCTCGGCTTTCGTCCTCACGCCGTAGCAAATCATCATGCAAATCATCGTCTGCGCGCGCCCGGATGGAGCGAGCTTTCGAAGAAAGAGACTCCAACGTCTTGACGCTCTTCTTGATGGAGGCGAGGTGGCCCTTCTGAACCTTCGCCCAGGAGATCTGCACATCCTCGTTCTTCTTGGAGGAACTCCCGCGGGCTGAGGCATCCTGAATCACCGAGGAGTGCTCGCTGAGGCCGTCCCGGAAGTGGTCGCTCTCCTTGATGTAGTAGTACAGCTTCTCGCCCGCAGCTTTCCACTCTGGAAGGTCATGGTCCTTCTGCTCCATTTTCGCCAGCTCAGAGTCCAGCAGTTTTTTCTGAAACCTTCGGATGATCAAATGAAAATGAAAGTATGTTTCACACCATTGACAAAAAGGAGATTGGCGATTATGCCAACAAGCCACTCATCCTTGAGGTCCATACCCTTGTCCTTTGCGATCGTGAAGCGAGACTGCCAAGCGCCCACTGCGTCATGGCTATTCTCCTCCACCACACAAGTAGAGCGCGAGAAAGAAGCGGCCCACTTCCTAGCACCAAGCTTCAAAGCAGTCTCCAAAGAAAACTGCAAATTCCACCAACAACAGAAAGCTGACAGCGAGACAAGATCACAAACACATCCCGACATGAGCAGTGATCAAAAAAACCAAGGATCAAGGATGGGTCTGCCAGGTACTGCTGAAGGAACTGACCCTTTTTGGCCTTGTCCAAGCTCTTGTACGTGGCAAGCGTCTCTGCGGCAGTGGTGTCACCATTTTTCGAGCGGTAGTAAAGGCCATTGTACATCTCCTTGTACAAACCATCTGGCAATCCACTCGCAGCCCTGGCGCGCTCATCTTCTGTCTGAATCTTGGCCTTTGCTTTGGCCTTGGGTTTTGCTTTTGGAGCCGATCCAGGGCCACCGCTATTGGCACGTTTTCCCATCGCGTCCGTCCGCCCGCAAACGCCAAACCTAATCCTTCCACTCCCACTGAGCAACCAAAAAAATCGGACATGAAATCTCAAAAGCTGACGGCTACTGCAACTGCATATGTATCCAACTGCACATGATTGCAACACATCACAATGTCTGAAGTCACAAAAACTAATGGGAGCTGCGAGCACGACGATGCAAAGCATGTGTCCAAAAACATGTAAGAAAAATCTTAATATGATGATGATTTAGACTAAAAAAAATCTTAAAAATCTTAATGAATATATTCGATTATCAATTATTACAGTTTAAACTCTTCACAAGTCTTTTTGAATCAAGAGCAAGGCTTACAGCGGTCATAATAGTTATTGGGCATAAAACACAATAATAATACAAACTGCAAGAATCTTAACCAACAAGCGGAAAATTGTTAAAAAAACTTAAAAAATCTTATACAAAACTGAAAAATCTTAAAAAAAAACTGAAAAATCTTAAGAAATACTTAAATATCTTAAAAATATCTTAAAAAATCTTAAAAAAAAAACTGAAAAATCTTAAGAAATACTTAGAAATCTTAAAAAAAACTGAAAAATCTTAAAAAAATACTTAAAAATCTGAAAAACTCTTAAAAATCTTAAAAAAATCTTAAAATTCTTGGGAGGTCTCACCATTTCTTCAAATATCTCAATAATTCTGAAAAGTGTAGATATTTGCCAGGCACCTCAAATGACGATAGGGATCTCAAACAGCAATGGTTCCCATTGCAAGCTTACATTGCTGTTTGCATGTGGACACCCGTTGCCAAACACATACACAAAGCACACAAAATCATGTTTGGACGCAAATCGCTCCACAAAGGGCAAAACTGATCCAAACAAAAGTAGTCAGCGCCCCGGTCTCCAAACATAAAGCAATGCATAATTATTTACCATTCACGTGCGTCTTCCAATCTCCTCCACACATTTGAAACATAACCCAAAATCTACTCAAGTCTGTATTGAAACAGTTGCTCCAACGATTTTGAAGACTTGATCCAAAAGGATGCCTCGCGTTATAACATTCATAAATATGAAAGGGCACGCTCACCCCAATTTTGCTGACAACTGTTAAGATTACCAACATGTTTCTCGTCATGAGCTGAGATGTTAGCTGCAACGTATCACGCGTACTCCTTTGTTGAACGTGCATCACGCAGGCACGCTCTACCAGTATGCGACGTTTGCGGTGATGTGTATGGCTGCGGTCATCTTCTCCATTTTGCAATCCTGACCCATCTAAAAGATATTCTTAGCATAATACCCAAACTAGTTAGATCTCATTTTGGGCTAGTTCAGGTTAGTTGTCCAACGAAAACGTAGCCAGTTTGCACAAGCGTCATCTAGTCACGTGTTGGATCAGTGCGAAAAAAAACAACTTGCGCAAGTCTTGCCAGCGCGCCAACCCAAGGATGCCTTGACTGCTAAAACCCGCAAAAGCATGTCAATCTACGCTGCGTTCTTAGTGTGTCCGTCGCGCAACGCACTCTCTCAGAGCGATCTTCTGGGTCACGGCCGTCTAGTCGGGCCGGCGGCGCCCGCCTGCAAAAAGTTTGGGGTCTGCTCAGTCTGCTCTGCCACGCCAGTTGGGCCAGGCCGCTTGCAAGAAATTCTTAGCCTCGTCTTTTCAAAGTGGTCACTCTCGCAGCTGTGATTTCTCTCGCTTCACCTTTTTGTTGCATGGCTTGCCTGTGCCGAGGGCCAAAGCGCTTCGATGCGCCGCCAAACAAAACCACCTTTCAGCGTCAGGGCGTGAGAGCTGTGTGCTTGGCTGCTGTCAAGCGCCTGTTTGTTTGGATCTGTTTGCTGTCACTTTGAAAACACATGTAACTCATTGACTCATTGAGCATCAACTGAAACAGCTAATGTAAAAGATGCAATTGGTCGAACAAATCAAGATGTGTAAGATTTATCTGAATTCCGAGCAATTCCGAGCAATTCCGAGCATTTTCGAGCATTTGGCCCCCAGGCCGGAAATATTGAAACAACCACAGAATCTGGCTAAAAAATGAATATTTGTCAAAAAATGCAAGAAACTGCAGCGGCTGCCTCAAAACCATGTCAAACCCACCTGTCAAAGCAAGACGGGCACGCAAAGTGGCTCTTGAGGTCAACCCATCATTTGAAGGGGGTGGCAGAATTTTTTGGGGTGGCAAACCCCATTTTGACACGTGCTTTTGCAATCTGTATCCGAGCAGCTGCGCAAGGCCAGCGTCACGTCACGAGCCTGGGTAACCGCACACAGGATTCAAGTCTAGTTCCTCTTCACTGGCCAGCGTTCCGTCATTGTAGGACCGCAATACTTGCTTCCAAATTTGTTGCTGGTGCTGCTCCTTGCTCGTAGCATCGCGGCCAAGGATGGCCCACGCCTTCAGGAGGCGGAGAGCCGTGTCAGCGCCGCCGATGGCAGAAGACCTGGATTTGGTGCAGGAAGCAGTACTAGTGTGATGATCTGGATGGGCGCATGTCATCTGAAACCCGGTTTTTGTTGGAGTAATACGGCACAGCCCGTACATTTGGGACTGGCCGCGATCTCTCTTGTGGCGAATGCCAGTGCCAGCCAAAGCAGCTGGGGCAGGGCGGGCCGCGGCGTCGCTATCACCGGACGCACTGGAGCCACTTGAGTCCGAAGATGTAGAGCTTGAAGATGTTTCAGACTCAGACTCTGAGTGCGACTCTACCTGCAAATTCTGCAAAGGCTGCTCCGCGTCACTCCCGCCCTCCGATACTGATTCATCCAGCATTTCTTCTATGGCCTGCACAACTGTGTCTTCTTCGAAGAACTCGGCGACCTCCGCACCAGGGGCATCCGCAACACAGCGCTGTTTCCGCTCAGGTTTTGCAATCTTGGGCACTGACCAAAGTTCCTCGTCTTGTAAAAAGCAAATGTCAGATTTTCTTTTTGTAGTGTTCCGGCTCCGCCCGAGCAGTTCCATATAAGCCGCGACATTCTTCAAGTGGGGCACAGGCTTGCAATGCTCGGATGCTGTGAGCAGGCATTGAAAATATTCTTTGCAAACATCATCTTCCCTCCCCTGCACGTAATACCAAATCTTCGGCGACTCTGCGTGCAGGTAACATGTGGACGCAGCCGGCGACTTCTTGCTGGCCACAGCCTGCGCCTGCCAACCTGAGTTTTCTAAACGCAATAGCAAATCAAATAGTTCCATCTCGTTGACCGGCTGCTCTGGGTCCCTCACCACAACAAGCGGTTTGCAATCGGACAAACGGTGACCCACAGTGACGGAGCGCCGGCCTGCCTCTGTCAGAGTCCACGCGTCGCCTTCCTTCCTCACCATCTCTGTTTTCTCCAAGAGCCGCAAAGACTTAAGCAACACCTGGAAATCCGGATCAGTGCCGGACAATTGAAAACCACGGCTGGAAAGAAGCTTCTCTGTCAAAGTCTGCGAGTAATACTGCACATGAGATAGCGGCACACTGTCCGGAAAACAAAGCTGGCTGCACATGTCAGGCTGAAGTGCCCAAATTTTCGTGTCTTTGAGAACCTGGGTGGGCAAAGCTTCCAGGGAAAGCACAAAACCCGCAGAAGACGCGGATTCCACCGGACTCACATGCAACTCTGCTGAGTCAGGGCCGGCTGATGTGACACGAAGCAACATCACTGCCCAGTCGTTCCTTGCAAATGTGGCCTTGTTGGGCCGCACAACATCACCCACACCCTTGCGGATTAATTGCAAAAACACCTGGCCATTGTGCACAAACTGTTTCACGTCTGGTGTCTCTTGGACGTCTGCAGCGCAAATGTGCAGACTTGTCAAAGCATTTGCTGCACTTGGCGGCATTGGGATGGCCAACACATTTCCACTTTCACACGCTGACAATTCCAATAAAGATGGCAAAGCCCGAATGATGTGACGCTTCAACAGTCCATCGCCAGGAATTACTGCAATTTCCTGTTCAAGGCCATGGGCAACCACCTCGCGGGCACCACGCCTTGCTTGCGGGCCTTCGCCAGCGCTCGTGCTTGGCAAGGCAAGTGCAGCTGGGCCACGGTGCCCCAAATCAGTCAGCAGCGCCTCAAGCTGCCCGCTGGCGTCGGGGAGCGCTGGCCTTGGCGCTGTGGGTGGCATGGGAGGAGGCGGCAAGTTCCCCCAGCCCGGCTCCGGGCGATACAAGGTGGCAGGGTCTGCGTGGTAAATGATTTTTGCGTGCAATGGGTCCTTGTAGCTCTGGATGCTCGCAGTGGCTGGGTGGTGCTGCAAGCCAACTGCCTTCAAGGCTAGGCCCGGCGAGTGAGCACTCTCAGCAAAAGAGGCTAGCTTGCACAAAAGGTCCGGGTCTTTGGATATGCCACGCTGAATCTCTTTTATACGACGTGACAAGCTGACATACTGCACACTGTGATTTCTTGCCAAAAGAATTCGCTTGTGAATTTGGGCGTGCTCGCCCTCCACAGGCCGCTCTGAAATGGGGCAAAAAAAAAGTTTGCCCAAGAAAACCGCCAAATTTCCAAGTTCACACAAAGGCCTGCCAGCAATGCACTGTTCAGCTTCCTCTTTGATAGGTGTGCTCTGCAACTGGGCAAAGAGACGGTGGTCGCTTGGGGTGTCCAAACAGAGACGCAAACATCTTTTTGATTTGTCTGCTTCAGAGTGCGCGCACCCGAAGATCACCCAAGGCGCAGTCCCCCAATGTTGCAAACGAAGGGAAACCGCAAACACCAAATGAGCCCTGCCACGGTCAAACTCCTGCAGCAACTCGGCACGACTTGATCCACTTATATCGCCAGGCAGGCTGGTCAGAAGGGCTGCAGCCGAAATCTGCGTGAGTTCTTCCAGCACTTCTCCGAAATCACCTGTGGCCAGCTCAGGGCCTCGGCAACTGCGCAGCGGACACTTCTCCCACGCTGCCTTGATGCGACTGCCGATGTGCTCGGCCCACGGTTTGCGCAGCAAATGGCCATGGCATGGACAACTTTCTGCCCAGGTCAGAGCAGCCTGGATGCAAAGCGCAAGATGCTCAAACATTTTCAGTTGGCCCCAGAAAATCGGGTCTGTAACAGCATCATTTACGACTGCGACATCGACGCCGCCTTCGTAAACGCCCGCAGGCGCAACAGTTCGCCGATACTTGGCCAAATCCCAGCCGTGCCGCAAAATGCGCTCCAACTTGCAAAGCTCAAGGACACAAAAAGCAATGCTGCCCCACCGGCCTGGCACGAGTTTGGCTGAAAAGGCGTTGATTTCTTGATGGAAATGTCGGCCGATCGGGTCGCTGAAACAAGTTTCCAACAACCGGGATCTCGGATCCCGCCGCCGCAGAAGGCGAGACAAGTGGCCCATTTTTGTGATCAAATCGTCAAAGCAGCGCATCGACTTTGCAATATCAAGTGAGCTGTTATGCAGTATGTGCAACAAGCCAGGAATGCCCAAGGAACCCCTGAAGTCCACCTGTGTTTGCGCAGCTGGCTGGGCTTCGGCTAGAGGAGCCCAGTCGTGCTCAAATTCGTTCCCGTTAAATGCGAGGTGTGGCAGGAACGTGGCCAGGGTCAGCGGCGGAATTTTGTGGAGTGCGCACTCCACGCCTTGATCTGTCACAAAAGCAAAAATGTCTTCTGTGAAGCGCTGCAATTGGGCTGGGGTGCCTGTTTCAAGCCACATGCCATGAACAAGAGCGTGGCACTTGTGCCACAAGCTAGCGTGCCCGCTGCCAATGACCACAGCTGGAAGGGTGTGAGCCTCAATTCCATCTGCGAGAGAAGCAAACATCGCCACCTCGCCCGAGTGCGCCAGCTCCAGCGCGTCCGAGCACTGTAGCAGCTCCTCTGCGGACATGGAGACAAACCGATTCCAGCGTATAAAGTTCCGACAGGTTTCTTGGTACATGTTCCCAATTCTGCTTGCATCAATGGACACAACCCTGCAAAGCTCAAAATCATGGTGCCCTTGCACGGATGCGTCAACCATGAGGTACCGGACACGACCCCCACATTCGCTGCTCTGTTGGTTGGCCCGCCGCTGGAAAAGCATGTATGCAACATCGATGCACAATCGCCACCGCGACAGCGTGCTGGCGGAAGGCACGCGGTGCTGCTGCGGGTTTTCCAATCTGCGGGCGATGGCCCTTGCAAAAACCTGTGGAAGAACCAAACCCGCTGCCTGAGACAACACTGTCCGAAGATCGCTGGCGTCGCGAAGGTGTTGGCACAACAGCATGCACCTGATTAAATACATAGCTTGGTAAGGCAACCGAGACGTGCAGGCACGACCCCGCATTTCAATGACTGCCTGGTCTGCGTTGCGATCTGCCAGCTCGTCATGCATGCGCTGCATACAATATGCGCCCCTCAAGCAAACTTGCAGGAGATCTTGGTGGCCAGGGCTTGCCTCGTCCAACGTGGCGGCCAACTCCCGAACTGCATTTGCAAACTCCAGTGCGTTTGTTGCAGAAATCTCTTCATCGACTTGGGGAAAAGGCGAGGGGCGAAACTCCTCGAACAAACCAGGAAAGTGGCTCCAGCCAACAAGCCTAGCACGCTGGCGATCGCCTCTGTAGAAAACGTCCGCAGGTGCCGGATCTGGCAAACAGAAGCGGCCCCACTGCCTGGATGCAATCTGATGCGCAAAAAAAACGGGCAGCCGAATCACCACGTGGTGACTTTCAAGCAGCCACTCGGGACAAACATCCAATTTTGCAATCAAGTCTGTAGGCCCATGCAAATCCATCCGAGCGATAAATGTCTTCAATCGCCTCTTGTCTGTCACAGGCAGCGGCACTGGCGCTGGCAAGGTGACGACATCTTCAACTCGAAAAAAATAGAGTCTGTTCTGCACGCCGTCGCCAAACACTGATTGCCAGAAATTATACTGCGCTCTTTCCCCTTCAGAGCGAAATAATTTCAGAGCGTGGTACACGTAATCCGCCTTGATGTGGCAGGCACACAGAACTTCATCTGCTCGCATATTGCTCAAAACATCTGCGGGTAAGCTTGCGCCCAACAGGGACACCGCATTCCAGTCAGTCTTGTACTTACCTGAAATCTGATTGCCCCATCTCTGGGACACACCATGGCTGGACAACCAGCAAACAAACGACATGTCTGTGGCGCATGTCTGTGTGACTGTGTGACTGTGTGGGATGCCTTGTTCTCAAAGTCTCAGTGTCTCAGGTCTAATCTCTTCAAGTCTGCCCATTCTGCCATGCCATGAGTTCCAACGAGCTTGCTCTAAAAGAAACGTGGCGCGTCGCCGTGTCGCCACGCAACCGGTCAGTCTCACCAAGAGGCAAACTAAAATGATCGGTTGCGATCAGGCTCAATCTCTCACACAAGCATGCACTCACCGGACATCGTGTTGAAATGGAAAATCCAAGAAAGGGGAACAAGTTCAAGCAACTCGATGTGAAGAATCTCAATTGTCTGCATTGAACCCTTCTTTGGAAATCCGACCCTATACTTCCCATTTCTGTCCTGTCTTCTTTAGGGGTCCTTGATATTCCCGGGAGTTTTTAGAAATCCACGGCGTGTCCTCCCTGAATTCCTGTTCCTGAAAGAACCCCTGGCCCCACTGTCAGCTGTCTTGTCCCGGGGATATTTGAAATTCTCAGGGAAGTGTAAAGAAAAGTTGGAGCGGCGATGCTGGCGATGTTGCAAGTCGCAGGCGATGCTGGGGATGTCGCTGCCGCCTTAATGCCCTTAAACGCCCTGCGCACACTTTGCGCGTCGTAAGAACATTTCGTAAATGAATGAAAGAACGGACCAGAACGGAGTGGACCGCTTGCGGATGCTTGCGAACGCTCTTGCAGACGCTTGGCGGCCAAGCAATGCATCTACACACGGCGATGCGACACTGCGACACTAGCTGGACACTTCCTGGACACTGCATCAGACTGCCACATAGCGGGCAATGTCTAAGATCCTTTCGGAAAAGTTAGCAGGTCCACCACCGTCTTGAGACCGTAGTTGGCGGCCACCGTGGCCAGCGTGGCGTTGTTGGCCGAGGCGATGGAACCGTTCATGGCCGCCGTGGTGCTGTGGTTGGACAGCTTCAGGTCCACGCTGTCCGGGGTGCTCTTCGTCGCCACCACGCCCTCCAGCACGTCGAAGGCCGACTGGTCTGCCTTGTTGGAGAGGCCCGGGGTCAGCGAGCTCTGCAGCGCGGCGATGCTGCTTCCGTGCGCGGCCACCTGCCCGTCCGTGGTGGCCAGGGCCGCCGCCGTGGCAAGTGGCGCAATCGCCGGCGCCAGCGCGCTGCTGTCCAGCTTGGAGGCAAGCTCTGCGGTGACTCTGTCGTCCAGGGACTGGATGGCCGCCGCGTTGTTGCCGGCGGCTGCCGTGTTCACCGCCAGGTCCGTTCCTTGAGCGTACGGCGTCAGAGCCAGGGCCAGCTGCCCTGCGGTGACGTGCGTGCCGTCAGTTACCTCTCCGTTGTCCAGGACCTCCGGGATGTTGCCCGTGACAGGTCCTTCAAACATGTTTACATATCACCGCCTTAGTCCAGTGGCTATTCCGCAAAGCGAGGCCGGCTCCGCGGCTTCGGTCTTGGAGCGAGGCCGGCTCCTCGGCTTCGGTCTGAGCGAGGCCGGCTCCACGGCTTCGGTCTTGGAGCGAGGCCGGCTCCGCGGCTTCGGTCTTGGAGCGAGGCCGGCTCCGCGGCTTCGGTCTTGGAGCGAGGCCGGCTCCGCGGCTTCGGTCTTGGAGCGAGGCCGGCTCCTCGGCTTCGGTCTGAGCGAGGCCGGCTCCACGGCTTCGGTCTTGGAGCGAGGCCGGCTCCGCGGCTTCGGTCTTGGAGCGAGGCCGGCTCCGCGGCTTCGGTCTTGGAGCGAGGCCGGCTCCGCGGCTTCGGTCTTGGAGTGGCGTTCCGGCCGCTCGGAGAAGTTTCCTCGTGTTTCGGAAGTGTGTTTGTTTTTGACACACATCACAGGCGTCACCGCTTGGTGTGTCAAACACACCAACCCCTCTTCGGCACAAGTTTCCGCACGTGTCACAGGGCCCGCACCAGGCCCGCACGTTGGCGTTTGTAACGGGGCAGGTGTATGTTTTCTTCGTACACTTCGAAGACTTTTCAGCAGTTTCTCAAACAGTGAGAATCTGCAAATTCTCAGGCGAACGCCAGCGCAACACCCGACCTGCGAATTTGAAGGAGCTCACCGTTTGAGCTCCTTCAGCAATTTGACCGATTTCGCCGGTCAAAAGCGAGACCTGCGCACGTTGGAGCCAGTGGCCGGCAAAACCGGACACTGCTTCGTAGTTGGTGAGAAGCTGCGTGCCCTCCATGTCGGCGGGCTGGCGCGGTTCTGCCGGGCAGGTTCGCCGAAGGCAGTTGTCCCCCACAGGACAACTGGAAAAATTTTTTCAGTCGTCGGCTTAGACGACAACTTCGACATTTTTTTTGCTGGGAAGAATCTCGACCTTGGCGCGGGTTCGGCAGGGCTCCGATGCCGGGCAGGCTCGGCTGTGAACACGAAGTGCCTCGGAACGTTGCCCGCACCAGGGAATTTGAATTGAAGGATATTATCCTTCAATTCCTGGTATACTTCCAGTACGACACGAACGTCTTGCGCACTCGCGGACTTGCCGCTGACCCCGTTGGGCGAGCCAGTTGGGCGAGCCAGTACTAAGGGGCAGGCGCGCACCTCGCTCTCGCGTCCTCGCTGTCCTGGAAAGCGGTAGGATTTAATGTGTCGCTCTGACACATCAAAATTCTCGTAATTCTTCATCGCTGCCCATCTGTGCCCAGCGCAGGATTCAGGGGCAATCCTGTGCCCAACACAGGATTGAGTGAGCAATCCTGTGCCCAACACAGGATTGAGTGAGCAATCCTGTGCCCAACACAGGATTGAGTGAGCAATCCTGTGGTCACGACAGGATTGACGGCAGGCCCGCGCCAGGGAGGTGCGGCCGGGAATTTGAAGTGAAGGATATTTTCCTTCACTTCCTGGTATACTTCCAGTACGACACGAACGTCTCGCGCACTCGGACTTGCCGCTGAACCCGTTGGGCGAGCCAGTTGGGCGAGCCAGTACTAAGGGGCCAACCTGCACCAGGGAAGTGAAAGATATTAACTTTCACTTTGGTATCCAGTACGACACGAACGTCTTGCGCACTCGGACTTGGGCGAGCCAGTTGGGCGAGCCAGTTGGGCGAGCCAGTACTAAGTTGGGCGAGCCAGTACTAAGTTGGGCGAGCCAGTACTAAGGGGCCAACCTGCACCAGGGAATTGAAAGTTATTAACTTTCAATTTGGTATCCAGTACGACACGAACGTCTTGCGCACTCGGACTTGCCGCTGAACCCGTACTTGGGCGAGCCAGTACTAAGCCGTTGGGCGAGCCAAACGAGGTTGGGCGAGCCAGTACTAAGTTGGGCGAGCCCGTACTTGGGCGAACCCGTTGGGTTGGGCGAGCCAGTACTAAGCCGTTGGGCGAGCCACTCAACCACAGTGGACGCCTGCTTCAAAGCTGCGCCTTGGCGCTCCTACGGTGCCAGCTCGGCACGTGCCCGCTCGGCACTGTGCCTGCTCGGCGCGCTTATCTAGGTGCCCGCTCGGCACGTGCCCGCTCGGCACATTTAGTTACTAGTGCCCGCTCGGCACTGCACCCCCTCCACGGTGCCAGCTCGGCACCGGGGTTCCTACAAGTGCCCGCTCGGCACTGGGGTGCCAGCTCGGCACTGGGGTGCCAGCTCGGCACGTGCCCGCTCGGCACTGCCTGTGCCAGCTCGGCACGTGCCCGCTCGGCACTGTTAGTTAAGTGCCCGCTCGGCACTGCTACTTACTGGTGCCCGCTCGGCACCGCCCCGCCTCGCAGAAGTTCAGGATGTCCAGGATGAACCTACGTACGGCCTGACAGGAAAAAAAACAGGGAGGGGGCACGGGGTTGAGCCACATGACATGCAAAAAACCGTGCGA